AGAGATAATACTCAAATTAGGGCTAATGTTAAGGGTAGTTGTAGGGTTACGTTTTGTGTTATGGTTAGGATAATATTAGGGCTAGGGCTAATGTCATGTCTAGGTTTACAGTTAAGTTAAGGTTAGGGTTAAGGCTATGGCTCAGTTTTGATTTAGAACTAGGGCTAGGTATAGGGCTAGTTTTAGGATTAGTGATAATGTTAGGGCTAGTGGTAGTGTGAGGTTTAGGCTTAGGGTTATGGTTATATTTAGTGATATGTTTAAGTCTAGGGTTAGGGCTTGGGCTAGGTTTAGGGGTTAAGTTACAGCTAGTGTTAAGGTTATGGTAACAGATAGAGTTAGTACTAGAAAGAGTTCTAGGGTAAGAGTTAGAGTTAGTCTTAGAGGTAGGATTAGAGTTACGGTTATGGTTGGCACTAAATTAGATCTAGGATTAGAGCTAGTGTTAGTGTTAGGATTAGGCCTAGGGTTACTGCTAGGGTTAGGGTTAGTGTTTGTGTTAGGGTTAGGGTTAGGGGAAGGGATGTGGTAATAACTAGGTTCTGAATTAGGGCGAGGGTTGAAATTAGAGATTAGGCTAGGGTTAGGGTTAGGATTAAGGGTAGGTTTAGGGCTAGGATGAGGGCTTGGGTGTGTGTTAGGTTTAGGGCAAGTATTAGGTGTATGGTTAATGTCAGTTCTATGGTTACGTTTAGGGATAGTGTTAAGGTTAGGTTTATGGCTAGGTCTATTTTAAGGGTTAGATTTCGGGAAAGGGTCTGGTTTAAAGCCAGGTGTATTATTAGTGTCAATTTCTTGTTTAGGGTTTGGTTTAGGTTATGGTTTAGGTTTAGGGCTCGAATTAGCATTAGGGTTAGGGATTGGGTTAGAGTAATTAATAGGGTTAGGTTTAGTTTTCAGGTTATGTTTAGGTGTTGGATAGGGTTAGTTTTAGAGATAGGTTTAGGGTTAGGCCTAGGGTTAGCATTTGGTTTAGGCTCATATTTAGGTTAATGGATAGGTTTAGGGCTAGGTTTATGATTAGGATTAGGGCTAGGGTTAGGGTTAGGGTTAAGCCTAGGGTTAGTGTTAAGGTTAGGTTTAGGGTATGTGTTAGGGTTTTTGCTAGGGCTAGGGCTAGGGTGATGGTTAGGGTTAGTGTGATGTCTAGGTTTAGGTTTAGGGTTAAGATTAGAGCTAGGGTTAGCATTAGGTTTAGGGTTATGTTTAGGGTAATGGATAGAGTTAGAGCTATGGTTTGGCCTTGGTTATGGTTAGGATTAGGACTAGGGTTTGTGTTAGGGTTAGGGCTAGAGTTATGCTTTGGGTAAGGGTTAGTGTTTGAGCTAGGGTTAGGGTTAGGGCAAGGGTTAGGATTAGGGTTAGGTCTAGGTTTAGTGTTAGGGTTATGCTTAGGGCTAGGGTTAGGGCTAGGTTTTGTTTGAGTTTTAGGGCTAGTGTTAGGTCTATAGGTAATGTAATACCTAGAGTTAGGGTTATGGCTAGGTCTAGTGTTAGGGTAATGGCAAGATTTTGGTTTAACATAAAATTTAGCGCTAGTATTTGTTTTACAGGAAGGGTCAGTGTTTGGGTTAGGGTTATATGGCAAGAATTAGGACTAGGTTTAGGTCTAGGGGTAGAGATAGTGTTTGGGTTAGGTTAAGGGTTTTTTGAAGACTAAGGCTAGTTTTTGTTTAGGTCTAATGCTAGATTTATGTCTCAATTTACGATTAGGTTTTTGTCTAGGTCAAGTGTTAGTGTTAGGTTTAGGTATAGGGTTACCCATAGGGCTAGTATTAGGGTTCAGTTTAGGGTTAGCGTCAGGTTTAAACCTAGGGTTAGTATTAGGGTCAGAATAAGGGTCAGGGTTAGGGTTAGGGTTTGGGTTATGGTTAGAGATAGAATGAGAGCTAGGGTTAGGATAGTAATAGAGTTATGGTTTGTGGCAGGCTAAGGATTAGGGTTAGGACTCGGGTAACATTAGGGTGAGGGTTTGGCTTAGGGTAAGGGATAGGGTTAGACCTAGGGTTAGGGCTATTGTGAACGTAATGGATAGGTCTAGCTTAAGGTTAGGGTTCAGTTTAAAGCTAGGTTTAGGTCTCCGATTACAGCTTGCTTTTCTGTGAGCACAGGGCTATGGCTAATATAAGAACTGGCATTAAGATTAGGGCTAGTATTAGGGTTAGGAATGGGGCTAGGTCTAGTGTTCAGGTTAGGTTTATTGCTAGTGTGATGTTTAGAGCTAGGGTTATTGTTAAAGTCTGAGCCAGCGTCAGGGTAAGTTCTAGAGGTAGGGTTAGGGCTTAAATTAGGACTAGGGCTAGGGCTAGGTATAAGCTTAGGTTTTAGTTTAGATTAAGGATTAGGGTTAAGCATATGATTCGGTTTTGTTTGAGTGCTAGGGCTAAGGTTAAGGCTAGTTTTCCAATCAGCATTAAGGGTAGGGCTAGTGTTAAGGTGAGGTTTAGGCTTAGTGTTAGGGTTCTATTTAGGGTTAGGGTTAGGTCTAGGTTTAGGGCTAGGACAAAAGTAAAAATGGGGTTGGGAATAGGTTTAAGGCTAGGGTTTCTGTTATGGTAAGGGATAGATTTAGAACTAGAATTAGTGCTAGGGAGAGAGTTAGGGTTAGGGTTACAGTTAGGGTTAGCTTTAGGACTAAATTTGTGCTAGGATTAGCGCTAGGATTAGTGTTTTGCTAGGTTTGGGTTACATTTAGAGTTAGGCTTAGATCTAGAGTTAGGCCAGGACTAAAGACAGGCCAAGGGTTAGGGAAAGGTTTCAGGTTAGGGTTAGAGTTACAGTAAGGGATAGGGTTAGAATTAGGAATAGTGCTACTTGGAGAGTTAGAGTTTGTCTTAGGCTAGGGTTAGGGTTATGGTTAGGGATAGGGTAAATTAAGGCTAGGATTAGGGCTAGGGTTAGTGTTCAGTTTAGGCCTAGCAATAGGGTTAGGGTTAGGGTTATGTTTAGGTTAAGGGATGGCATTATAGCTAGGTTTAGAGGTAGGGTGAGGGTTAGAGTAGGGTTAGGGCTAAGCTTAGGTTTAGGGTTATGATTAAGGCTAGGTTTAAGGCTAGGATGAGAGCTAGTGTTTGTTTTAGGTTTAGGGCTAGGATTAGGGCTAGGGCTAATATCAGGTCTAGGGTAAGGGTTAGGCTTAGGGTAGGGGTCATATTTAGAGCTAGGATAATTATTAGGGTTAGGGTCAAGGTTAGGGTTTGTTTTAGGTTAGGATTTAGGTTACAGCTCGAATTAGCATTGGGGTTACAGTTAGGGTAATGATAAAATTTGGTTTAACGTTCAGGTTTGGTTTAGGGTGATTGATAGGGTTAGTGTTAGCAATAGGGTTAGAGTTAGTCTAAGGGTTATCATTAGGTTAAGGGTTATGGTTATGGTAATGGATTGGATTAGAGTTTAGGTTAGAATTACAGTTATGGTTAGGAATAGGTCTTGACTTATGGTTAGGGTTAGGTTTAGAACTAGGGTTACATTTAGGGTTATGGTTAGTGTAAGGGTTAGGTTTTGAGCTAGGGATAGTGCTAGGGAGAGGGTTAGTTTTAATGTAAGTTCTAAGGATAGGATTATGTTAGGGTTAGTATTACAGTTAGGGTTAAGGCTAGCACTAGCGTTATCATTAAGGTTAGGTTCAGGATTAGGGTAATGGATAGGGTTAGATATAGGGTTAGGGTTAGGGTTAGATTTTGGTTTAGAGTTAGGATTACAGCTATGGTTATACTTAGGTTTATGGTTAGGTTTAGGTTTGAGCTAAAGTTAGGGCTATACCAAATGTTAAATTTAGGGTTATGTCTAAGGTCAGTATTCCATTTAGGGTTAGGTTTAGAGTTAGGGTTTCGGCTAGGATTATCAATAAGTTTAGGATTAGGGTAATGTGTAGGCTTTGAGCTAGGGTTAGGACTAAGTTGAGGGCTAGGTTTAGGTTAGGGCTAAGGTTACAATTAGTGTTACACTTAGAGCTAGGTTTAGGCCTTGGATTAGCTCTATGTTTAGTGTTAGGTTTAGGCCTAGGGTAAGGGCTATGGGTAATGTAAGAACCAGGGTTATGATTAGGGCTTGTTTTAGTGTTTGACTTATGGCTGGGTCTAGAATTAGGTTTAGGATTTCATTAGGGTCAGGTTTAGAGCTACGTTTAGAGTTAAAGGCAGGATCAGTGATTGGGTTAGAGTTAAAGTTAGGGTTAAATCCAGATTTAGGACTATGTTTTTGTCTAAGGGTAGGGTTAGTGTTTGGGTTAGGTTAAGGGTTATTGTTAGGGCTATGGCTAGGTTTTTGTTTAGGTCTAGAGCTAGAGTTAGTTCTAGATTTTGAATTAGGTTTAGATCTAGGGATAATATTAAGGTTAGGTTTAGGTATAAGCTTTCCATTAGGGCTAGTGTTAGGGTTTGGTTTAGGGTTAGGGTCAGGTTTAGATCTCAGGTTTTTGTTATGGTCAGAATAAGGGTCAGGGTTAGGTTTAGGGTTTTGGATAGGGTTAGACCTAGAATGAGATCTAGCATTAGGACTATTACTAGGGTTAATACTTGTTTAGCCTAAAAATAAGGGATAGGTCTAAGGTTACCATTAGGGTTAGGGTTTTGCTTAAGGTAAGGGATAGGGTTAAACATAGGTTTAGGGCTAGGGTTAGGGTTATGGTTAGGTTAAAGCCTGGATTAGGGCTCATATTAGGGCTAGTTTTTGTGTGAGGTTTAAGGCTAGGGTTAGGGCAATGACAAATATAAAAACTAGTGTTACAATTAGGGTTAGTTTTGAAAGGTTAATAAAATAGGTACTTGTCACTCCGTTTTTCTGTATGCTTAACAAAACACTGTTGAAATCTTAAGAACTGTTTGCTAATCTTGTTCCCAGAATGGGCTGTCCCCAACTATGAACTGTTTGCTAATCTTGTTCCCAGAATGTGCTGTCCCCAACTGCCAAACTGCAGAATGTAACTTCCCTCCCTGCCCTCCCCAAGGGAAGTATATAAGCTCTGCTTAAGCTGTTCTCAGGGCTCTCTTTGCTCTATTCAAGTGAGCTCTGAGCCCCAGCATGCTGGATCCCCAATAAACCCTTTGCTGTTGCATGAGACAGTCTCTTGGTTGTCTCTTCCTCTGAAGCTCGCCCGACCTTTACATCTGGAGGCCCTAGCGAGATCTGGCAGCGGCAGACAAAAGACCCCCAACAGGCCCCTCTTGGGGTAAGTAAGGTGCCTCTTTCTGGTTTCTGCTTTCTGGTTTCTGCTTTCTGGTTTCTGGTTCCAGGTTTCAGGTTTCTGGTTCCAGGTTTCAGGTTTCTGGTTCCAGGTTTTAGGTTTCTAGTTCCAGGTTTCAGGTTTCTGGTTCCAGGTTTCAGGTTTCTGGTTCCAGGTTTCAGGTTTCAGATTTCAGGTTAGGGCTGGCAAAATGGCTGTTGGTGAAGAGTGTGAGCTCTCTCTCTGACAGTGGCTGACAGATGTGTCACAGAGCCACAGACCATGTCCCTGGGGGACGCCCCAGAGGACTCAGGAAATCAAGGAACAATAGTCTCCTCGACTCAGTGATATTTTGTTTCTGATTCGGTATTGCCAGCCCATCGGGTTTTGCTGGCTACTCAGTCCTGGTCTCAGTGTTGGACATCCATTGCCTGTCTTTATTGTCTTGTCTTATCTGTGTCATGTGACATTGCTTTCACTGTTTGTGCATCTTTCATTATGGGACAGAGCACTTCAACGCCTCTGTCCCTGACCCTTGATCACTGGACTGAAGTCCGCTTAAGGGCTCAGAATCTTTCTTTTTCAGTAAAACGTCGGACCTGGCATACTCTCTGTGCCTCAGAACGGCCCACCTTTGGAGTCAGATGGCTCCCAGGAGGATCTTTCTACTCCCCACTAATTCCTACGGTGAGGTTTAGGCTTAGGGTTAGGGTTAGATTTAGAGTTATGGTTATATCTAGGAATAGGTATAGGGCTAGGATTAGGGCTAAGGTTAGGGCTTGTGTTAGGGTTATGGTAACTGATAGGGTTAGAACTAGAAATAGGCTAGGGCAAAGGTTAGAGTTAGTTTTAGGCATAGGGTTAGTGGTAGGGATAGGGTTAGGGTTAAATTAGGGCTAGGATTAGCGCTAGGGTTAGTGTTAGGTTATGGCCTATGGTTAGGGCTAGAGTTAGGGTTAGTGTTAGGGTAAGGGTTAGGGTTAGAGTTAGAGGAAAGGATGGGGTTATAGCTAGATTCAGGGATAGGGCAAGGGTTAAAATTAGGTAGGGATAGGGTTAGGGTTCGGGTTAGGATTAAGGCTAGGTTTAGGGCAAGGATGAGGACTAGCGTTTGTGTTAGGTTTAAGGCTAGTATTAGGGCTAGGGCTAATGTCAGGTCTAGGTTTATGGTTAAGGTAAGTTTTAGGGTTAGGTTGTGGCTAGGTCTAGTGTAAGCGTTAGGTTTAGAATAAGAGTCAGGTTTAGAGCTAGGTGTTTTTATTTAGGGTCAGGGTCTGGGTATGGTTTGGTTTAGGTTAAGTTTTAGGGTTAAGGCTTGAATTAGTGTTAGTGTTAGGTTAGGGTTAGGGTAATGAATAGGGTTAGGTTTATGGTTCAGGTTAGGTTTAGAGTAATGGAAAAGGTTAGTGTTAGGGATAGTGTTAGTGTTAGGCCTAGGGTTAGCATTTATGTTAGGCTTATCTTTAGGGTAATGGATAGGGTTAGAGCTAAGATTAGGGCTAGGGTTAAGGTTAGGGTAAGGGCTAGGGTTAGGGTTAGGCCTAGGATTAGTGTTAGGGCTAGGTTTAGGATAACTGTTAGCATTTTAGCTAGCCTTAGGGCTAGAGCGAGGCTTAGAGTTTTGGTTAGGTCTAGGGTTACTGTTAGGGTTATAATTAGGACTAGGTTTAGTGCTAGGATAATGGCTAGGTTTTGTGTGAGGTTTATGGCTAGTGTTAGGGCTATGGGTAATATAAGACCCAGGGTTATGGTTATGGCTAGTTTTAGGGTTAGCGTTATGAATCAGTCTAGTTTAGGGTTAGGTTTTGGGTTAGGATAAGGTTTAGAGCTAGGGTTTGTGTTAGGGTAAGGGTCATTGTAAAGGTTAGGGTTAGGTTTAGAGTTAGGGCCACAATTAGGATTTCATTGGTTGTAGGGATAGGGTTAGTCTTTGTGTTAGGTTAAGGGTTTTTGTTAGGGCTAGTGCTAGGTTTTTGTTTAGGGCTAGGGCTAGATTTATGACTCTATTTAAGATTAGGTTTGGTCTAGTACTAGTGTTAGGGTTAGGTTTAGGTATAGTCTTACTTTTAGGGTTTGGTTTAGGTTTAGGGTCAGGTTTAGACCTAGGGTTAGTGTTAGGGTCAGAATAAGTGTCAGGGTTAGGGTTAGGGTTTGGGTTAGTGTTAGAGGTAGAATGAGGGCTAGGGTTAGAACTAGTAATAGAATTAGGATTTGGGGTAGGCTAAGGATTAGAGTTAGGACTAGGGTAACATTAGGGTGAGGCTTTGGCTTAGGGAAAGGGATAGGTTTAGAGGTAGGGTTAGGTTTAGGGCTAGGGTTGTTGTTAGGCTTAGGGTTAAACCTAGGGTTAGGACTCGAATTAGGGCTAGGATTTGTGTTCGCATTAGGGCTACAGCTAATGTAAGAGCTAGGTTTCTGATTAGAACTAGTTTTAAGGTTTGCATTAGGGCAATGTTTAGAGATAGGGTGAGTGTTAGGGTCAGAATCAGTGTCAGGGTTATTTCTAGGGTTAGGGTTAGGACTAAAATTAGGGCTAGATTTAGGGCTAGATGTAAATTTAGTGTTTAGTTTAAGTTAAGGGTTACGGTTATGGTTATGGCTCAGTTTTGTTTTAGGGCTAGAGTAGGGTAAGGGCTAGTGTTCCAATTAGCATTAAGGTTAGGGCTAGTGTTAGGGTGAGGTTTATGCTTAAATTTAGGGTTGGATCCAGGTTTAGGGCTAGGGTAAGTGATAGGGCTATGGTTGGGTCTAGGGATAGGCTAGGGTTTGGGTTATGGAAAGGGATAGGTTTAAAACTAGGGATAGGGCTTGGTTGAGAGTTAGAGTTAGTGTTAGGGCTAGGATTAGCACTAGGGTTAGTGTTATTTTTACGCCTAGGTTTAAGGCTAGTGTTAGGGATAGCATTAGGGTTAGGGTAAGGTATGATGTTACAGCTAAGTTTAGGGCTAGGGCAAGGGATAAAATTAGGGTTAGAGCTAGGATTAAGTTTATGGTTAGAATAAAGTCTAGGCTTAGAGCTCGGATAAGGGCTAGGGATAATCAAAGGTCTAGGATTATGGTTTGGGTTAGTTTTAGGGTTAGGTTTATGGCCAGGTCTATTGTAAGGGTTAGGTTGAGGATTGGTTCAGCTTTACAGCTAGGGTTATTATTAGTGTCAGAGTCAGAATTAGGGTATGGGTTAGGTTCAGGTTTAGGGTTAGGGCTCAAATTACCATTAGGGTTAGGGTAATGGATATGGTTAGGTTTAGGGTTCATGCTAAGTTTAGGTAGTGGATAGGGTTAGGGTTAGGGCTAAGAATATTGTTAGGGTTTTGTGGGCTATATTTCGGGATATGAAAAGGTTTATGTTTAGAGTTATTTTAAGTTATGTGTTCTAGCTAGGATTAGGGTTATGGTTAGGTGTAAAGCTATGTTTAGGGCTCAGATTAGGGCTAGGTTTTGGGTTAGGTTAGGGCTAGGGTTGGACTACAGCTAACATAAGATCTAGGTTTATGATTAGGGCTAGGTTTAGGGTTAGCATTAGGTCCAGGTCTAGTGTTATGGTCAGGTTTAGGTTTAGGGTAATGATTAGAGATATGGTTAGTGTTAGGGTCAGATTCAGGGTCAGTGATACTTTTAGGGTTAGAGATAGGACTTGAATTAGGGCTAGGGTTAAGGCTAGATGTAGGGTTAGGGTCTGTGTTAGGCTTAGGGTAAGAATTAGGGATAGGTTTAGTCTAATATATATATATATATATATATATATATATATATATATATATATATATATATATATATATATTAGGAATTAGGTCTAGGGTTACAATTAGGTGATGGTTAGGGTTAGGGTTATGGCTCAGTTTTGTTTTAGATCTAGGGCTAGGGTTAGGGCTAGTTTTAGGATTAGTGATAATGCTAGGGCTAGTAGTAGGATGAGATTTGGGCTTAGATTTAATGCTATGTTTAGATCTAGGTTTAGGGCTAGGGCTAGGGCTAGAGTTAGGGTTAATGTTAGGTCTAGTGTTAGGATTATGATAACAGAAAGGGTTACAACTAGAAATAGGGCAAGGCGAGAGTTAGAGTTAGTCTTATGGCTAGTGTTAGGGTTAGGTTTATGGTTATGGGTAAATTAGGGCTAGGATTAATGCTAGGGTTAGCGTTAGGGTTAGGCCTATGAAAGGGCTAGGATGAGGGTTTGTGTTAGGGCTAGAGCTAGGATTGGGTATAGGGCTAATGTCAGCTCTAGCATTGTGGTTAATGATAGTTTTAGGGTTAGATTATGGCTAGGTCTAATGTAACGGTTAGGATTAGGGTAAAGGTCTGGTTAAGAGTTAGATGTATTATTATGGTCAGAGTCAGGGTTAGAGATTGGTTTCAGTTAAGTTTTAGGATTAAGGCTCGAAATAGTATTAGGTTTTGGGCAATGGATCAGGTTATATTTAGAGTTCAAGTTAGGTTTAGAGTTTTGAATAGGGTTAGGGATAGCTATACAGTTAGGTTTAGTCCTATTGTTAGCATTTGGGTTAGGCTTATGTTTAGGGTAATGGATAGGATTACAGCTAGGTTTGGGGCTAGGTTTATGGTTAGGATTATGGCTAGAGTTAGAGTTAGGGTTAGGGTTAGATTTAGGTTAAGTTTAAGGTTGAGCAAGGTTTAGGGCTAGGGCAGGACTAGGGTTAGAGCAGGTCTAGGGTAAAGGTTATGGTTAGGGCTACGTTTAGCATTAGGGTTAGGATTAGGGTTATGGTAATGGATAAAGTTAAATCTAGGTTTTGGGCAATGATTACAGTTAAAATTAGGGTTAAAGTTATAGTTAGGTATAGGACTTTGTTAATGTTTAGGGTTAGGATTAGGGCTAGGTTTAGAGGTAGTGTTAGGGTTAGAGTCACTTTATTCAAATTTATTTTATACAATTCAAGATTCATCTTTGACTAACCTTACTGCGTTCCCCAGGTTTAAGTCTTTTGGTTCAACTGTTTGGTTTCAGGAACAGCTATTATTTTCATTTTACTTCATTTTGACCTATA